AGGAAAGTGAACCCTTCCTTCAAGGAGATTTCTTGGAAGGACCACCCAACACTTTCATTTATATTTATTTCAGTAACCAAAACATGGTCACATGACCATAAAGCTGCACATAAAGGAGGCAGTGTCCTCTGTTAGCCAGCTTTTTGGCTCGACAGCTAAATACCAGAGGCTTGTCCCTCTGGACCAAAGTAAATGAGGATCAGAGGGTACAGCTTGAGATTTCTGCCACAAATGGAAACAGACATTATTCATATTTTCTTTTCATCTTGGGACTAAGGCTAGATGAATTTCACAGGAAAAAATAAAGATCATCATACTGGCTAAAGTCAGTTTGCACTTGTAGTGTTCATTTCTTCATTTATACACTGACTAGACAAGTGTTTTTAGAATACTTGAAATGCCTAATTTAACTAAAAGAAATCTCAGAAAGGACTGAAAAATGCTTAAGTCATGTACAAATCAAGATTACCTTTTAGAAATACATACACACTTAAGAAATTTAAAAGTAGTGCTCACAAAGAAAGTACAAGCAGAATGCTTTAGCAGTTCAGAATAAGAAGGTTCTTGAAGCTTTGTAGATGAGCTGACTTTTGAACTTTAAAATTTATTCAGTGTTTGGATATATGAATATGGTAATGGCATCGTGGAATTGTGACAAGAACACAAACATGTAAAATAAGTGTATTTCTACTCTAATCTTTGTTGGTAGAGAGATCTGAGACCATTTAAGCTCTGCCATCCTCAATAAACTTGTGTAAACAGACATTTCTGCCTCAAAGGGGAATTATAAGGCCCAACAGGTGAAAGTTCTGTGCAAACCGCAAATCACTGAGCAAAGTATTTTTAACTGTTTTTCAAATTTTCAAACAGCAACTGCTCAGAAAGTGAATGCTGAAAGAGCAGCATAGACAAAGTACATGTTCACGGGAGAGAGACAGAGGCAAAGAAAAGCATTTAGTTGGGTTTAGTTGAATAATTAGGTGTTTGACGGACACATAAGGAATAAGGTTTATTTGGTATCTTGAATAACATGCTGAAGAGTTTGGATTCCATTTGGGAGGCAGATATCACTGGGAAGTGTTTGAGTTTGACTCATGAATATTAACATTACAGCACTCTTTGGGGTGGATGTAAAGATGTTCTTTTTATTAAACGTTAAGTAGCTGTTGCAAGTGAAGAGGGAGTGAAAGCCTGAAATACATGACCAGTGTAGGGTGAGAGAAGGTCAGATGGGAGGGGTATTTTGGAGCCAACTGAATGGAACCCACCAAAGTTTGATAGAAAAGGAATGAACCAAAAATTACTAGAACATTTTGAGTAGAGGTGATGAAGAGGATGAAGGTTTCATCGAGAGAAACTGGACACAGTACAAAATAGCTTTGAGAAAGAAAACTTTGTTCAGTTTTCCAGCAGGAGTGATGTCCAAGTAGTGACGTCTAGCAGAGTTAGACCCAGAATTGGGGCCAGAATTGTACATTTTCATTTAGAAATTCCCCACTAACAAAATCGTGATGCATCTTAGCTGGATGGAAGAACTGTGACTCAGAAACAGAATGTTAGGGAATCATTTGTGGGTGGAAAGTCGTAAGAAGAATAGAAGTCATTGACCGTGAGCCAAGAGGAGTCAGAATAGCAGTTGAGATTAAGCATGACTTAAGTGAATTATTCACAATACATGGAAAATACTGGAGAGTAACAGGAAATCATATTTTGCAAGTTGATATTTCATATTTCATATTAAGATCTGTAGTCAGTCACTCTCTTTCTAGAAGGAAACCAGTAATCAAAACATTTGCTTACCTTCATGAGCTGACTAATTATTTTTAGTTTTCAGTAATCAAGCTCCCTCCAGTTTAATTTGCCCCATGTTATACATTAGGCAGTGCTGAATACTGAACTGACTCCTATGAAAGCAGGGTGGAATGAAAAAACTCCTCCTAATTCAGAAATGTCACCAAGGGTGTTAAGATCTATTTCTAAGTGCGTCTGAGGGGTAAAGAGATGAATGTGCTCTCTAATTTGTGCTTGCCACCCTCCACACGGGAGAAGTGGTCTTTGATTCAGTGTAAAGCTGCTGTCTGCCTGGTCTAACACCACCGGTTACACAATATTTTGAACTAATGATAAGTCTGTTGAAAAAGTGGTACCCTGTTGAGTGTTTCATGGTCCCTACCCAGACTAATTCCTTACTCCCTTTTACCATGCCCACCTAGTTCTACTAAAATTACATAGGTGGAAATACAGCTTTAGTACTCAGAGATCTACTCACCAGACTAATTAGCATGGGAGAATAACAATTTTAAGAAAATATTACAAAATGGTGGAAGAGATAGGTGCTATGAGGTAGAATTTGTAGACATAAACCTAGAAACTCTGGGTGTAGGTAATTTAGAGATCACTTTCCTCCATGTCTTGTGAAAACCACAATGTTGCTGAAAGAGTGAGAAGTAAGCTCCAGATAAGTTGTACACTGTTCAAGTTTGTAACTTGGGATTTCTGTGACAGAGAAATAAAATATCAATTAATTACGTACTTTTGGGAAAATAATTTAAAGTATGATTCTGTTAGTAAACATTTTTAATTTACAGGACTCTACAAAACAGATATGTTTGAATATGCTTGTAACTGCTTTGTTTGGTTTAGGGTTGGGAGAGGGAGCTGCCCTACATATAGAACAGTACCCTTTATGGGCTCCTGTTAGTGCCCACAATGAAACACCAGTCCTGCATGCTAAAAGTCTAAAAAAAAAAGCATAATATGACCTCAGAATCTTAGAGTATGGGCCTGAAAAGAGATTCAGTGGCACAACTTGAGGATAACCATGAATGCCAGTATTATTTCATAGGGAAGATCAGATTATAGAAGTTATATGAACAGTTATACAGGAACAAGAACTATTTTAGTAAACGTGAGTGGAGGCTACATGAATGGACTCAATAAAAACCGTGGATTTGGGTAGACAATTTGGACAGGTGTGTTTGATTATCTTTAATTAACTATAACTCTCCCTTTAGGATACATAAAATATTGGATCAGCTGCTTAATACAGTAGGAAGTATCAAAGACTGGAATCGAGAGATGTAGGTTTTAACTCCAACTTTGTGATTTGGGTAAATCATTTAAGATCTCTGGGTTTTATTCATTTATTTATATAGTTATTCAACAAATATTCAGAACCCCTTAGCCTTTTCTTTTCACTGAGCGTGTCACTAGGGCCTCTGCAGAGCTAACATATGTCATTGAATAGTAATAACTGCTTAATGAGGGGTTTCATAGAAAGGAGAACTCTGAGCTGCATTTGAAGTGTTAGAGGGACATGGTTTAAATTATGGGGGGAAAGGTTGATTTGAACCAGGAAAGCAATGCCTGTAAAAGCATAGGGTCAGCCTAACCCATCTCCTAGGAGAGCCAAAGTCTGTGTTACCTAGAACTGAGTCTGAAGATGAAGCAGAAGCAAGAGTTGCAAAGGTCAGAAGGTCAGTATTGACTAATAAGATGACTTATGGTGGAGACAGCGAACCTGATACAGAGAACACAGGCAGACACCTCTTTAGTCACAACTCCTGTTTCAGACAGGTCTAACTGGGTTGGTAAGATGCCTAGAGAGCATTGGTAGAAAATGATTTTATTACCAAAAGAAAAAAATCCTATGACTAAGTTACCTGTTGCCCTTTTCATTATTTCCATGTCATGGTAACATTTGCAGATGGGTAATTACTAGGCATTCTGACACTATATGGGGTTTTTTTCTTAATGAAATAGAGAAAGGTAACTTTTATTTTACTTTTTCCATTCCCAAATGTAAATTTAACATATATCTCTTCATGTTAAAAAAGAACTGCCCTTCTTTTTTCCATTTCTTTTTTGTCTCTGTTGCTTTATAAATCTTCTACCTGCGTGAATTCCCCAGTACCCTTCAGCAAGAACAAAACTGAGCTGCTTCTGTAAGCCCCACAAAATATTCCCATTATTTTAAGTTTGAAAATGCCACAGAAATATTAAGTGAAATTCACCACACTGCTCTTATACAATACATTTGACCTCTAGATGCGTTAAGAGCTTCATCCTCCAATGCTTTTAATTCTAATCCTTGCAGAGACAAAATTCACTGCTTGAATTATAAGAGTGAGTCTCATTAAGGCTAAAAAGCAGTGACCCAGATAGCATAATGGATTAATATCATGACCTTGCAACTTTAGAGCTTTACATTCGAATCTGACTATGTAGTCAAATCATTTCAATAGTCAACTAATCAATTGGTTAATACCAGCCTGTAAGTGTTCTAAGTCATAGATCATGTGGCCAATACTAGCCTATATAGAATTAAGCTGAGAACCATAGTATGCTTAACTTTCAAAACCTTTTTTAATTGCTGAGAATCAAAGAAATGGATTTTCATGAATTACTGTGAATGCTGTGGTAGTGGTCGTGTATGTTAATTGCTCAGTCGTGTCTGACTCTTTGAGACCCCAGGAACTATAGCCCACCAGGCTCACTGTCCATGGGATTTCCCAGACAAGAGTACTAGAGTGGGTAGCCATTCCCTTCTCTAGGAGATCTTGCTAACCCAGGGATTAAACCTGTGTCTCCTGCATTGCAAGTGGATTCTTTACATTCTGAGGCACCCGTGAATGCTGTAATCACTAATAATTATATAATATTGACACTCTAATAAACATCAGTATTTTGAAACTTACACTACCAGTATCTGTTAATGATATATGTTTGCATTTCACTGCAGTGTAAAGAAGGACTGTAAATATGATTAACCAGGTCTTGAGTGATGAAATGTAATGTCAATGGATTTCCAACATTCTGTACTTTAGTATCTTTAGGGTGATATATATGGTTAAGATTATCCTTCTCTAGGAGAAAGCTGGAAATGTGTATAATTGACCAGGAGTTTTAAACTTAAAAACTGGAGTTTTAAGGCCTAGGGATTTTTTTTCTTTTTTGAGAAACAAGTTTTGTGAAAAATTATTCCTGCCCATTTTTTGTAGATGCAAGATATACGGAACCCAGAAGGAACACAGTATAGCTCCCACCCTCAGATGGCAGCCATGAGACCAAGGGCTCAGCCTGCAGACCTCAGGCAGCCGCCGGGAATGATGCCACACGGCCAGCTCACCACCATCAACCAGTCACAGCTCAGCGCTCAACTCGGACTTAACGTGGGAGCGGGCAGCGTCCCCCACAACTCACCGTCTCCTCCTGGAAGCAAGTCTGCGACTCCTTCACCATCCAGCTCAGTGCATGAAGACGAAGGTGATGATGCCTCTAAGGTAGGACTTATAAGAAATGCTTGCTGCCTAAAAAAATACTATTCACTAGCACTTTCCCTGACTTCAGGTGGATGGAGGTAATATCATCGAAATGGGAAGCATTGTGGGGGACTGAATGAGTTAAATCACCTGCTTGTCCAATTACATTTTTAAGTTCCTAACAAATCCTTTAAATGCAAATGTACTAAACATAGGAGTAGGTTGTACCCCCCAGAGTACAGGGTCTGTTAGTGAGTAAGGGAGAATAAATAAACATCTAGGACTCAATATCCAAAGTCAGGCTTAATTCACTGCTCATTCAAAAATATCTTTCAATTTAACTACTTTATTTTAAAAAGGCAATATAATGATGGGTCTGTGTGTGTGTGATGGTTAGAGAAATCTCTGAGATCATCTGATCCAAACATGTCATATTTAGGATGAAGAAAAGAAAGGTCAGAAGCACTAGATGATGCCCTTCCAGAGAAAGGAGCCTGGGTGCTTCTCTACTTATCTTTTGTTAAACCCAGGCCATTATGGTTGTCTGTCTGCATCACCTTCAGTTATCTGTATAAAGCTGGGTCTTCGTTGTCCTTATTTTTGGAAAATTAGCTACAAAAGTAGTTAGCTCTTTAAAGTATTCAAGGCAGCCTTGTCAAATGATTGTGTCATAACCAAGTATACTCTCAGTCAAGAACACCAAAATCATCTTTTTATTGCCTTGGTTATCAGTCAGGTGGGCTTCCCTGGTAGCACAGTAGTAAAGAATCCACCTGCAATTCAGGAGAAGAGGGTTCAATCCCTGGGTTGGGACAATCCCCTGAAAAAGGAAATGGCAATCAACTCCAGTATCTTTGCCTGGAAAATACCATAGACAGAGGAGACTGGTGGGCTACAATCTGTGGGGTCTCAAAAGAGTCAGACGTGACTTAAGTCGACTAAAGCAGCACATCAGTCAAGCATCTTTCAAATTTGACTGCTTGAGGACTCTTGTCCCTGGTTACTGTGAAAAATACTGGCTGCTACATGCATACTTCATATTCCTTCTCATTTTTAATGTCACTAATGAATTGTCATTTGTGTCAGTCTTGTTTCTTTTCACTTTGTGAGAATTTTGTTTTGGGATTCTGATCTATACAGTTAACAATTGCTAGCGACACTGGAGAAGGCGATGGCAACCCACTCCAGTACTCTTGCCTAGAAAATCCCATGGATGGAGGAGCCTGGTAGGCTGCAGTCCTACCAGCGAGTAGGGTAGTCCTACCAGGGTAGTCCTGGTACCCTACCAGGGGTCTCGAAGAGCCAGACACGACTGAACAACTTCACTTTCACTTTTCACTTTCATGCATTGGAGAAGGAAATGGCAACCCACTCCAGTGTTCTTGCCTGGAGAATCCCAGGGATGGAGGAGCCTTGTAGGCTGCCATCTGTGGGGTCGCACAGAGTCAGACATGACTGAAGTGACTTAGCAGCAGCAGCTACACTAATCTTTTAACAATCCAAATAGTGACACATAGATTTATTCAGCCTGATGTCAAAAGACAAGGCTACTATGTTGACATTTTATTATTTTCAGTATTCTTAAAGCTCTAACATTTAGGGCCTTAATCCTCAAAGCACTACCAGGGTAGCTAATTCCTAGAGATAGTGAATGACTCCCCTGTGAGCACGTTTTTAATAGACATACCAACATATCCATAGCCACACCCAAGTCATCTCCTTCATCAAACTGTCACACACCACACCAATACCCCCGCCACATCTCCCCAGAGGACCAGGTATGGACAACTAGGGAACACCTCTAGAGCAGAGCCCTTGGAAAACTGTTCTGACCTTCCTGTCCTGAGCTGACTCGGCCCTTCCTTTCTTCCCACAAAAACCACATTAAGGACTCTGGCCCTTGCCTGCCCGCCCCCATCTCTGCCTCTTGATGACCCTGTATGGCATGCTGGGCCTCCTATTTCCGGGTTTGTGTGAGTATAAACTTCTTCTTTCATGACATCCATTTCCATGCCTGCTGTCTGCCATCCCTGATGAAAACAAATGCCTGCTACGTTTTAGAGGAGCTACACAGCTAAATGTGAGCACCCGTGCTGATCCCCTCTACCCCACCGTCTCTCCCTGTCAGCGAGCCATCCTCTCACGAGGGAAAGAGAAAGAGAAGGAGAGGACTTAACTGATAGGACTTGAATGACGTGTCGGGCTAGTGAAAGCCTGATCTTTGTCTGGTCACTGCAAGGGCAAAATAAATTTTTAAGAAAATATGTGTTCTGATGGTATCTCCAGCCAGTGAGCACCTGGATCTAAATGTGAACGCCAAGAGTCTGTTTACGGTCAGTGATTTAGGTGTCGGATTTTGCATGGATGATGATTCAAGTTAAATTTCTTAGCGTAGGTGATATGTACTACATTGCAAGGGGAAAAAATTAATGTTCTACTCATAGGAAGGGTCAATTTGCGCATCTGAATTAGATCTTTATCAGTATTCATTGTTTACATTTCAGGAAATTAATGCAAAATTAGCACCTTCTGACAGTAAATTTTATGCAGGATTATTCTTACTTACAAAAGCATTTTCTACACTCTTCAATTTATATGTGTAGCACACTGAGTAGAAATCAGAAGTTCATAGAATTAATATTGATAGATTCTGCCATTTTCTATTGACACATCAGGTCCATATCCTATACTTTTGCTGAGGTATGAATTTGTATGTTATGAGTTTCCAGACAGGTGTGAAACTTTGCCAGTGAGTATCCTAACCAATCATTTAACTTCCATATCTCAGAGTAATTTATAACTCATTACTAATGATCATGTAAACATTGTATAGTAGAATATTCTATAGTGGTATATTCTTGAATAAGCCATGATGTGAAGGTGGATTTCTCAAGAATGCCTTCATTAAGGTGACTTTTTAGCTACACAAATACTCTCAAGTTCATGTCTAGTTTAAGTGCATTTTCCGTCTCAAAAGCTATCTTCCCATTCCAGCTATACACACTGTCCTTCACCTTCTCTCCAGTTCAGAATTCCCCTGCCCCTTTTTCAACTTATTTTTATTAAATGATTTTAAAAATTCCTCCGATGAAAGTGTTCAAGCATGCTTCATCACTGCCAATTAAATCAGAATTTTCCTTTATGCATGAGAAGGGTTTATGTGGAATGTTGTACTGCAACCGCTCCCATTAAATGTGAAGTACTGTTTAGTCAAAAGGATCACTTAAATAATTTCTAATAAGAGAACTAAAAAAGAATATTTAGTCTTACACCTGAAAAAGAAAAATTTAAACCTTCCTTCTTAACACTTTGTGCTCTCTTAAGCAATTGCATGTTAATTCCAGTTTATCTAATTGAACAAGTAAATGAAATAACTTTGTTTTGACAGACAGAAATATTGTAAATACATCAGTAAAATAAATTATCACCTTATAAACACTCCCCATGGCCCTGATTGCTATGGAGCTGTGTTGACAGCCTGAAGTCATAAACTAGACATACAGTCAAACATCAGAAAAATATAAACTTGGGTAGCTTATGGTTCTAAGCCTGTAATCCAATACATGTAACACAACAGACACTTTAAGACACTTAAAGTATCTGGCATTTCAGCAGTATTTTTAGCACAGTTTTCCCTTTAAGGAAATTATGGGCTAAGAATCACAATATATATTTTTCCATCCTTTTACTTTCAGCTTCTCTGCTGAAAGGATTGTATGTGTCTCTTGTCAGTGGAATATAGTTAAGTTTTTAATTTCAAGTGAAACTGACTTTTAATGACAAAAGCGACGTAATTTTTTTTGGTTTTAATTATGTTTCTTATGTTTTACCTAATATATTTTGCTGTTATATTTATCTCTATATATAAAACTATGTCTGTATCATGTCAAAAAAAATGACACTGACCTTACTTACATACATTCACATATTGAATAAATGCTAAAATTCTTGGGTTAATTTTTCCATTTAAGTATGTTGCTTTCTATTTGTCTCACATATGTCTATCTTTCTTTTTCTCTTTCTTACCTTCCTTAACATTGATCTTACTTTTCTCATTTCAAAATTTCCCATTTTAAGATCAGAAATTAAATTTTATAATCTTTCTCTTTGTTTAGTAACTACTCTTAAAAATGCATGAAAGTCTAAAACTGACATAAAAATGCATGAAAGTCTAACATTGATCAATATCTTTACCCTTTGTAAATTACTTTAAACACCCTCCTTTCAATTTATACTGGAGCAGTTATTGCTATTGTTTATCTTGATTATAATTTAAATTATAAATTATCTTTAAATTAAATGTAATTTTATGAACTTCATGAAATGCTATTTTTGTTGTTTTTACAGTCTTTTTTCTTTAGATTTATTCACACGTAAAATTTATTTTTTCATCTGACATCATTTTCCCTATGCCTTTGAAATTTTCTTTCATGATGATCTAGTGGGAACAAGATTACCTTAAAAAGTACTTTAACTAGGAAAAATAATTTTAGATTGATGGTGTTTCTCCATTATCATTTTGAAGATGTCTTACTCCATTGTATTCTGATTAATTTACTTATATCAATTTCCCAGTTCATAATTCAACTTTCAGCTGTATCAAATCTGAAATTAATGCTCATGTATGAAGGTTTTAATTTCAATTATTTTATGTCTCTAGTTTTATTCTTTCTCAAATCTGTTTGGAATTTTTTTTTTTTTTTTTTTTTTTTAGTTGCTTGCTCTTTATCCATGGGTTTAATCTCTTTTGTTCTTTAAGCATTTGTTAATTCCAATATGTGAAGCCTTTTGGGGTCTGAGTCTGTTGTCTATTGTTGCCACTGGCCCTTGGTTTTAATGCCTTGATTCATTCTGCTTTTTTGCTTTTGGAATAAGAGCTGATATTCTTTAGAACTTTATGAGAATTCTATTCGACCTGTTTTGAAAGTGGACTCCTCTAAAGATGGTTTGTGTTTGCTTCTGCCAAGCGGCTTGGACCATTACAATCTAGAGCCAATTTTGGCTTAAAAGTTTTTCAGATA